GAGTTTTACAATAGGAGAAAATAGGATAAAAATACAGTAAATAAATAAATATTACTTTAGAATGTTGTGGTCACTCTGTGTTAAAGATTCTAAATCCACCATCATTGGAAAACAAGGTACAAGAAATATTTTAAGCCAAAGCCCATACTAGAATGAAAAGTGAGTCACAAGATGAAACCATGTGTTGATACATGAGTGATGCATAACCAAGCAAACTTCACCAATTGCATAAAAGGATAGTCATTTGCAGACACCCACACTTTGATGTGTGTCACTGGACTAAGCCTTCAGTCAGTGGATATCTGGGATCTTCATCGTATTTTTCAGAGATTTCAGTCATGGACAGAGGTTTCAGACACTCTGGTAGTATTGCTGTCATACATTGATACCAAGAACCTATGTTAGTAGAATAACTACTTCATAGATTCTCTAAAAATAAAGAGAAAGTTAAAATACTATTCTCCTTCCTTTATGATCAGACACAGCCCCTTTCTTTGTGTAATAACCAGTGCTGTTTGGGCTATAGAAAGACAGAGAAGGAAGGACAGCCATTTTGCTGCTATGATTGTCTCCCATGTCCAGAAGGGAAAATTGCAAACCAAACTGGTAAGATATACCATGTAGCGATTGTTCTGTTTTGTTTGTATGCTTGTTTAATGCTGTGAGTGGGCATAGAACTGAAAGTTTTTGGGGTGTTTTAAAGGGTTCTGTGATTAAGGTTATTACACAAAGGCAATCCTCTCAGATATTCATTTCTGTATGGGTGCCTAGTTTGTATATCTCCCCATTTAATTAAAATAAGTGGAAATCTACCTTTTACTGGGACTTTCAATAATTTTTGAAATATTGCAAAAGGAAAGCAATCCTGAACATATCAACAATCCCAATACATAAATTTCTCATCCATTTCTAGTAAAGATTGATATACCATCCAGTTTTGATACAGAAGTCCTCATTCAGGTATTAATTATATATGAATGAATTGCTTTAGGGATGGCATGCAAAGAAAACCCACATTTTTTTTTCAGATATGGTAATTTGTTTTCAGTGTCCAGAAGACCAGTATTCTAATGATGGCCACAATGCATGCATTCCTAAAAATATGCACTTCTTGTCCTACGAAGAACCTCTAGGCATCAGTTTGGCCATTGTGGCTGTTTTGTTTTCCTCCATCACAGCTTTGGTATTAAGGACCTTTCTTAAGAACCGAGACACCCCCATGGTCAAAGCCAACAATCGGGAACTCACCTACACTCTCCTCATCTCTGTCCTGCTCTGCTTCCTCTGCACATTGCTGTTCATTGGCCAGCCACAGAAAGT